TTTTGCCTTCTGCTGTTACAGTATTATTTTAACTAGTGATTGACTACAGAATTTTGTGCCTGAAAGTTCAGTGAGAAATTGTAGCCTATGAGATCCACCGATACGGAAGTCAAGACAAATACCCACCTATGATATTGGCTGGTGATGGTGCAGTGCACCGCAAATCAGAATAAGTAGGAATTCATAAAAAATAAGATCGCGTCCCGACGGCTCATCTCATGACATGAAGGTCCTGGATTTGGTTCTAGATGGGTTACTGTTGTAGAATCCCAAGCCAGAACTGAACAGGTTCAGTAATATCAAACTTATTATTATTGTTCCCTTGGGTTCCTAGTGAAACATAGGGCTTCAACTGCACGTCTCCACTTACTTCTGTCTTCTGCTGTACTTTTCACCTGCATCCATGTTAGTCCATACTGTTTCAACTCTTCACACGATCTCCTCCATGTCACCCTTGGACGTCCCACTCGCCGCTTCCCTTTCGGGTTCCACTCGAGCGTTGGCCTGACGCGCGAAGTCACCCAGCAGCCTCCTCAGCGAGTGTCCAATCCATCTCCACTTTCTCCTGCAAATTTCTTGAGCGATTGGTTCTTGTTTTGTTTGTTCCCATAGTTACTTGTTGGTGATTCTTTTCGGCCATCTGATCTTGAGTATAGAACGAAGACAGTTGTTGATAAAGGTCTGCAACCTGTTGGGAATATTCTTTGTGACCCGCAAAGTTTCTGATCTATATAGAAGAACTGACCGACTTGACGTTTGTATTGAAAATACGAATTTTGTTGTTGATGCTGAGTGACGAAGATTTCCAGATTGGTTTCAGGTTGATGAATGTGTTTCTCGCCTTCCCGATTCTCGATTTGACATCCTCATCCGTTCCTCCTGTAGTTGAGACAATGCTCCTTAGATAGGTGAGTGAAGTAACCTCTTTCAAATCCCTCCCGTTGATGGTGATTGGCGCTGGATGTTGCTGTTGTTGGTGTTGGTTGGGTATTTTCATAACCTCCGTCTTGTCTATGTTCACCTGGAGTCAATATCAAACTTAAAATAATAAATTAGGGGAGACAGGTTCAAAATGTGCCACTTTGCTCTGAGGTAGATACTATTGACTATTGTCACTCTCATTCAGTGCAAGAGAATCAGATCGTTTCATAATACGCCGATAAATCCAAAACGTCCTACTTTATTCCTTTATGAATAATAATATTTCAACGTTCAAATTGGTGCCATGGCCATTAATTCTCTATTTCCTCATCTTCTTCTTTTTATTGTCACTATTCATTTATCGATTGTTTTAACTTTATCACACATGAAATACTTGTTTTTGTTATCCAAAGTTACCAGCAACTTCACCTGCCCATCATCCTAACTTTTTGTTGTTGAAAAAAAGTTTTTATCAATTTAAAAAGCAGTTTTTTTTGTAATAAGTGAGGAGTAAAATAATAAAGAATCCAACCGTAAACAGGTGTCTAAAACAAAATTTCAATCAAGCTGACATTTTCTTGACAGTGCCTTATCTTCAAAATTAATGATGATGTCATAAAACTGATATGCTTTAAAAAAGTCAGTAAATAAATATCTTATGGTATATTTCTTCATAATGGGAAATCAGTTGGAAAAGACTTCACTGCAGATGGCTTTCATAACCACCACTACCTATTAAAGTGATAAGTAAGCAGTTTATTACTATTCATTATATGTCTTACTGTGATTTTATATCATTACAAGACAACCAAGATCATGAAAGGTCTACGTTTCAACAAGAATGAATGGCTTAAATTGCTAAAGAAAAACTGGAATATCAGTGCTGACTACTGTATAATGCTGTCAGGAGGCTAACGTAAAATCATTATTTGCAGAACAGTATACTCTGGCATAACACTTTTAACTTCAGTTAAGAAAGGTGAATCTTATATGAGTTGTTTTGATTATGCCGAACAAAGTTAACATCCAAGAATTTGGATTGCAGCAAAAGTTTAAACAGTGAAGACATCTACATTTTAAAATAATGAGATTATAATTATTCAAAATCAAAAGAAACACACACGAATTTTAAGTACAGTAGGTGTCTAGTAATAATAATAATATCACGTGCTATCAGCTGGATAGTATTTAAAACGTTTAATATGTACTCGCCGAGATGAAATAATAGTCTACTTTACCTAAACTACTTTGGAAACTACTGTAGTACTGCTCGAAATTCAGAACATTGGTTTAATACATAAAAATACATTCTCCGTGGAGATATTAATTTATTATTGTCATGAGTTAGTATTTGGTGATTCGATTTCCTTTAGGTTTGATCACTAACTGATGCCGACTGGTGTCTGGCTACAGGAAGAAGTTGCCTGGAGTTCTGTTGAGGACTCGTGACCATTGGGGTTATTCATGTCGGATATGGGGACAGATACTCGCCAATGACAGTGACTAGTGGTCGCGCTACAATCAGGAAATGCTAGAATTTGGAATTCATAGACCATAGGAGTGAGTCCCAGTAACTGAATGTTCTAAGACCTTGCCTTATAACCTGAAGGTTTCGGGTTCAAAGCTCGTTAGGAGGGTACTGGTGATGAATCTTACTCAGGGATGAAACAACTGTGCAGTACTTCTTGCTGGTCTTAAGTCTATTATTGCTTGATAACACTACTTGGGACATTATCGATCAGTAAAGTCGAAATTATTGTATCTTCTAAGGCCATTAAGTATGATGCTGTGGTTCGTTGATTTCGGCGTTTTACTTCCAACCATGAGGCATTCGAACACCACGCAAACTATCGAGGTTTGGGATGTCAGGTAGTATCATTAGCCTACACATTAAGTGTAGACCACTTCCAAGTGAAAGTGTTTGTTGGGTAACTGATCCGAGGACCATTGAGAAGAAACGTTTACGTTTCATATCAACATCTGGTCATAAATGTTTAGATTATGCAAAAGTAGCTGGTAGCAATGCCAAATTATTATATGTCATGATTCTGCAGTAAAATCCCTACCTACTTAGTACTGAGAATTTTTTTCTCCCCATTGTTATCACGGGCGATTTAACAGCCGTATGCCTAGTGAAACTACTAGGATCATGAATTATCAGTAAATTTCATCAATAAAGTAAATCACGGAATATATGGAAAATTACAACAAATAACAAGGGGAAGAGCAAAACTTTTTCAAGCGAATTATGAAGCCAAGTTAATACACTGGTATCATTACGAAAAGTCACCAAGTTACCCATACTGTATCACGCTGCGTTATACAAAATAAACTTATATGGAATTATACTTCACCGTAATGTTCAAATTCGATACTTACACTAATATATTATATGATTTTGTGAATACCAAAATGCATGACTTTTTTTACATACACTAACAAGCATAAAGTAATTCTGAAAGACACAGGGAACATCTAATTTTCTGGTTGAAAAATGCTAATAACTAATGGACATTTCCAAGTGTTGGTTTGTAGGAATTCGATTGGTTACAGGATTTTTATCATGAGCTGACATTAGTTAGAGAACCATTGGAAAACCAGCTGGGAGTACTGGACAGCTGTTTCGTCCTATTTTGGGACTCTTCATCAGTACGCACCCACCGGGGTTCGAACCCAGGATCTTCTGGTTACAAGCGAGCTCGTAGACCATTAAGCCACGGGGACCCAATCCAATGGTCCATGAATTCTAACTTCTGCCAATTCACGACATAGCGCGACCGCTAGCCAATATCTTCGGCGAGTATTTATCCTCACACCCGACCTGCTGCACCCTACTGGTCACGACTTCTCACTAGAACCCCAGGTAATGGAAATTTGTAATATTTGGAAATAAATCAAATCCAGTTGAATACATAGGAAATCATCTTTTTCTAAGCTAATCTGACTGATGACTTAAATTTACGCATTTCACACACACGCAAATCAAATAGCTGATATTGTTTCTGTGTGCAATGTATGCTGATGATCTAACGATTCTTTCAAAAGAAATAAAGTTAAGTTCCCTGAATAAATGAACACTTCTCAAAGTCACTTTCATTCTATTCGAAAGCTTTATTTTTACTTTCTTTATTTTAACTGATTAAAAATACCCATTAAAATTTTTTTCAAAAGAATGGATACTGAACAATGAGTACTCTTTTCGATAACTTCATCATCATCAGGCTCTACAGTTATATATACATAATAGTAGTGAATGAATTAGTGTTATGAACAACATCAATGTTGTTTAAATAACATCGGATCAATAATATCAATAAATTACAGCTCAATAGCATCCACATAAAATAAGCTGAATGTCATAAAAATTAGGAAAGATAATATTACAAATTCATGAGTTTATAGTCTCTACTAAAGGCTGGCCAGGGCAGTTGTGGTGGCTGGACTTGCTTTTTTTGCACACAGAGCACTGGTTGCTTCACGGGAATGGCAATAGCCTCTGCTGTTTGGAGCATACGGTGCTTCGATGTTTTTGGCAATTTATTAGGCACCCGGTAGATGATAGAGAAGGATTCTTCAACGCTGACTTTCTGGCCGGTTTGTACCAGATGGTCCAGTATCGAACTGTTAATGGTTTTCACTACACCTTTAATTTGATTTTTTTTAATTTCTTCGTAATTATTTCCCTTGGTGTATCGGCCTTGAATTGTAGTCGTAGATAAAGAATTTGTATTATTATCTTTCCTAATTTTTATGACATTCAGCTTATTTTATGTGGATGCTATTGAACGGTAATCTATTGATATTATTGATCTGATTTTATTTAAACAACATTAATGTTGTTCATTTTTTTCTTCACGTTCCCCGGTGGAACATAGGGCTTCAAACTAGTGACTTGAAGTTTCTGTAGCAGTGTTTATTTTACAGCATGGGGTTGCTAGCCTCATGCCCAACCTTTCCTCTTCACCAGCATTATTTCTGGCTTAGCGAGGTAAAGGAGTGAGTTGGCCGGGGATCGAACCGCGGACCATGTGCATGGTTGGCCGACAAGGCACTTCTTTACCTCGCTAAGCCAGAAATAATGCTGGTGAAGAGGAAAGGTTGGGAATGAGGCAAGCAACCCCATCCTGTAAAAATAAGCACTGCTACAGAAACTTCAAGCCCCTAGCTCGAAGCCCTGTAGTAAACCCAAAAAACGCAGAAGATCAGACATGAGATCGCCGCGTAGAAACAACACCGTCACAACGAAAACTTCAAAGCATGAAATTTATAGCCTCATATTCCACTGGAAACACAAGGAATAAGTAATGTACACTTTCTCTTAGCAGACAAAAACGACAGTAACAAATCTAATATTTTACGCTAGCTAACGCATAAATAATAATATGTGAAAGAAAAGAATATTAGACAACAAAAAAAGACGAATTGCAGAAGAAAACCATTTTCTTTGCACCATATGTGTTAGTTGTTAGTATTTCACTTAAAAATCATTTATGCATATCGATGATGGGTAAGGAAAGAAAAATAACACGAGATTGTCGATAAACGCCTGACACGAAAGAAGGCGAAATAAAGACGAGAAACAATGCCACCTTCTAGAGAGAGAAAAATAAATATGGAGAATAGACATCTGAAGGTGTCTTTGATTTGTTTTTTTATTTCGCTTCTACTGTCACAGATATCATAAGATTCAATTAATTACACAACGAGTATATATACATTTGTGTAGACGAGTGAGATTAACTCCAACCTCCGTATCCAGACATAGAAGACGAAGTGTAGAAAAGAGAAAGAAGAAAGCTGAGAGGCTCAGCTCTTTCGCTAGAAATGGAAGGTTTTCACAAGTAATATGTATATATATATATATATATATATGCGACACATATATGCAGCATGAAACGAAAAAATGGAATAGACAAGGAAACCATTGAAGTGGAAATATATAAAATAGAGAAATGTATACACATATATTTATATATTCTATTCTGATAAGATTTTGTTGCTTTTATTTTTCTAGCATGATGGTTAGAAGGAGAAAGGACAAAAGTTTATTACAAGGTAGAAATCGAAATGAAAAATAAGTAGAACCCAATTGGAAAATATCTTCTGAAGTCACTTATTTTCATGGTAAAGAAACGCATAAATATCCAAGTATCGATAACATCTAATCTGCCGAGAAATGATTGTCAGAAATTATAAATTTGAACGGTGATTAGTGAGAGAGATCAAGATTAGCTCAACCTTAGAATAGAAGACGAAATTCGGAATAATTGAAGACAAATGACACGTAAAACAAGTTGTTTCTTCTAGTCTGGAAGAAAAAACGCACAACTGAAGTGAGCGTTTTCTCACACTTCAGTTGTCAGCAAATGAGAGCGAATTATAATGGTACAAATTGAAAAACAAATGAGGAAATGCCCCCCTTCATCATTTTGATATTAACGTTGACCACGAACACGCCATCTCAATATGTAATAGCCGAGTATTCTTAAAAATAGGAAGAATATACACAATACACCAAAATCTACAGAAACATTATACTCTGGAATATTTAATGCTTGAAATACCATTGTCGGTTTACCAAGACAAGGATAACTGATTTTATTAACACGTTTACGAAGACAATCAAGATCTGTACGATTATTGCCGTAGATAATCTAAAATTAAACGATAGAAAATGAAAACAAACAATTCTGTGTATGTGTTAAAAACAACAAGGAGGCTGTGGAGAGCTGATAAATATTCAGAACTGAAATGAGAAAACGTTTGATGTACTTAGAAGAAGCTTTCACAAGGTATCTTACTGGAAGAAGTTCAGTCTTTCAGAGTAATTCAAAACAAAATGTAGCAAGTGACATATCAGTCTAAATATTCGATTGATCGCTGACTTCAGGTTCAAATTAATCACCTGTGTACTGGTGTTTTTATTGCTTATTTTGAGTTACGAATTCTATTCATTTATTTCATGAATAAGCGTATTATTTCACACTCCTACCATCAGTTAGAGAAACAATGAGGAGTGTGAAGCAATAAACTGTTACTTCTTCCTAGTTTGCGACTGTTCAGCAGTAAGCATTTATGACCTCATTAGGAATAGAACCAAAGGGTTAGGGCAGAATCCAACGTCCATAGTATTCTAACTTCAATAATTTAGTAGTTCTCATTGTAGCATTAAAAATACAATATTCAGCTAAGAGACTCTTTTCAACGAATTTAATATCAAGCTGTACAATCGTATATATATTTATTTATACATGGTTTTTAAGAAATTCTATCCGGTGAGGGAATTAGATCGAAGATGTGACGTTCACCAGCTGCAAGGTGTTCTCCATCTTTGTAAAAGATAAGCTTCTCCGTCTAGCCGCCTCCATGTGCATCTATCAGTTCACCTGTTCTTGTGAAACAACACGTACAGAGAACGCTTTCCACACAGATACGGGGACATATTCCAACTGCATGGTTTTACAAGGGAGAAAGGAAGTGTGTGAGAAACTCTATTCTAGAACACCTGATCGACTCCTGTCACTCTACCGACCCTGACCATGATTTCACGATCATCTACGAAATCCATGATAACTTGCCGCGTTTTCGTTACAGACTTCCAAAGACAGTGGTGACCCTGGCCATTCATAAATTTAAGCAAGACCTTTGTGTACAAAGAGGTATGTACAATCCTTACTTCTGCCTTGGCCATAGAGAGATAGACATTTATTTATTTATTTTGTTTATTTAGTTAATCTATGCACCTTACCCTCGCCACTATTATTATCATTGTTCTCACTCTGAATTGTTTCCACTTGCCCCACTTGTCATTCTAAATCCAAACTCATTATCTTTTTTACAATAGTGAATTCTACTTTATCAAATTCCACACCATATTACGTAACATTTAATATTCGCCTACTAATCCTATAATTATGCACCCCTTTCCGAAATCTATACACCTTATGTATTATTCTGTATATGACATTAATTGTTTTGCTACCTGACATTTAACTATGTTTATAATCACACATAGTTTAATTGTACTCCATACTATTATTATTTCGTGTACTGAGATTTTTGATCTAATTCCCTCACCGGATATAATTTCTTAAAAACCATATATCTACGATTGCAAAGCTTAGGTGTCTGCGTTCTATCTCCCGCGTGAAGTGGTATAATAAGGTGAGCAATATTGAGGTTAGGCATCGAGTTTTAGGTAAGAAGGGGAACCAATCGAAGAGGCTGTGAAATTCCATCGACTGAGATGGTTAGGACTTGTGTTACGTATGCCTAGTCATCGCCTTCCTCGACAGTGGGCAATGTTAGCTGATATAGGGTCAGGCTGGAAAAGAGCTAGCGGTGGTCAAAACAAAACATGGCACCAGTCAATGAAATCCACAACAGTTAGTCTAGGCCATGTAGGAAGGTGTAGACTTCCAGACTGGTTGGGGTCCTCGGGACGGTTAAACCCAATGGTTGGAAACAATTGGTGACATGGCTCAAAATCGTTCTCAATGGCTGGCGCAGATGCATCTACTCCTTGTGACTCATGGTTTCCAATGAAACTGTTTTGTTCTTCGTTATTACTATTCCTTTGTCTCACACCTCTGTTTACTGTCTATATTATGCATTTCTCCTACTTTCTTCTCTTGCTTTGTGTGCTACATGGAGTGTGGCGACTTAAACTGCCGCACATATGTGCAAAGTTATATGTCGAAAACAGACAGACAGATTGTACAGCTTGATAATAAATTCTTTGAAAAAAGTCTCTTCGCTGAATATTGTATTTTTATTCTAACTACTGCGTTGGTGGCATAGAGGTTAGGACGCTCTCCGACTATGCACATGGTCCGAGGTTCGATCCCCGGCCGACGCACTCCTTTACCTCGCTAAGCCAGAAATAATGCTGGTGAAGAGGAAAGGTTGAGCATGTGGCTAGCAACCCCATCCTGTAAAATAAACACTGCTACAGAAACTTCAAACCACAAGCTTGAAGCCCTGTGTTCCACTGGGAACGTGAAGGAAAAAATTCTAACTTCTGCCAATTTGCGACACATGGTATGAGTATATATATGTACAGCCAGTCAGTGTCATTGGTGAACATTTGTCCTCACTCTCGACTTGGTGGAACCGATTGTTCACGAATTCTCACTTAAGCCCCCAATTGACATTACTCCTCTAGTCAGAGGAGGATTACTCATTAGTTACTAATGAGCATTTAATCAATTTTTAAGTGCTGGCTTGTAGGAATAATGTTATTTTCCATTAAAATTTTCAAGCTTTCCTACTTCAGAAAAGAATAAGATTTCTTAAATTGTAGTTTCCAACATATTATCTCATGCTATTAAATGATACATTTACCTATAGTCAGAAATAATAAGATTAAGAAATTCTTCAGAAATTTATCGATACATTTTGAGATCATTTAACATTAACAATAGTCTTTAATGCATATAAGCATCGATTTAGTGATAAGAATAGAAGTGTTGACTGCTAAGGCTATCAAATGGCTGCATGAAGAGATAAGTTTATCTACAAGTTACTGATTCAAGGCTATCAAGGTATTTGATCGTTTTCATCTAGTCGATTAACCAGTGAGACATCAACATCCAGTGATGCTGAAGTCTGTTTGTTTTCTGTCACTAACGTGGTATCCTATTTAAAGGGTATTTTTGGCTAAAATCCTCCGAATTAACTGGTTGATTGACGACTAAGAATTCCCCACTACAGAATAATCCAAAAGCATTGTCCTTCCATGTCAAGTCTTTTACCGCATAGAACATAGAACAACATCCTATATGATGTATTATTTAAAATAAAATAACTGAGAAACAAATTGCACAATACCTTGAGTGCTCCAGAAAAAGAATATCTAGTAAATGATATATACGATAGCCATTGTAAATACTTTGGTATAGAATATAAACTAAGAAAAAATCCAGAGAATAAAAGAATTGGAATACCAGTCACAGGCCCGAGGAATACAGCTACCTGTAAAAAAAAAAGAAAAGAAAATAGATTGAAACATAGAACATATTTTTAAAGTGATGTTAGAAGTAAACACTAATCTACTTTTTGTGTTTTACCATCACAAATTCGTGTTGAAACTAAAACAAAAGCAGGATCCTCATTAGATATGAGAATTTGAACGAAGAATATTCTTTTCAGTAATTCGTTTTCAGGCCCTTACACAATTATAAAATAAAATATTTGTTATCGTTATAATAATGGCCAGTTATTATTCGCTTTAACTTATATACTGTTCATTCAAATATTCTTTCAATGCTATCGAATTTTCCCTTTATACTATCCGGACTTATTGATAGTGATATTATGTCTACCATCGGTGACAATAGGCAGCCCTGTTTTACTCCTGTATTCACTTCGAACGCCTCACTGAGTTTTCCACTGTGGATCACCTGGCACGTGGCATTGTCATATAGCCAACTCTTGAATGAGGTTGATAAAGATTTCAGCACTGCACGCCGTAAGGTTGAAGTAGTTTCCAAACTACCTCTCGGTTAACGCTCTCTGTTCAAGGCCTTTTCGAAGTCGATGAAGTTGAGGTAGAGAGAAGTTTGACTGTCATTCTATGTTTTGTTCTTTGATGACGATGCGTAGAGCTGCGATTTGATCAGCACATGATTTACCTTTCCTGAATCCGGCTTGTTTTGGCGGGCGGAATTCTGTATCCAGTAAATCCTTTATTCTTTCCGGGATGTGATGTGACTTTGTATTTTACTTTGCGTGGACAAGAGCATGGTTCCACACTAGTTCTTGAACAGGCCTAAGTCGCCCTTCTTCGGAAGCTTGGTAAGGTAGCCAGCCTTTCTTCCAATCGGTAGGTACCTTTCCTTCTTCCCAAACCTTTTGCAGTAATAACGTGATCACACCTGTGGCAGTCTCTTGGTCCGTAATCCATAATCCATAGAAATTAGTAGTATGCGGTAAATAAGATACTCTCAGCCATTATTGTAAATCATAGGCAGAAATTACAGCACTGTAATAACAATAGTATGAAAATATGAAAACCATTAGTTTTATTGTCACCACATTTCCCTATAACTGAAAGTATTTCTCATTCTGTGACAGTTCTACGGAATAAATATTTAAGAACTACAAAGGAATACGTCTGAGCCCAATTGTCTTTCCATAACGGATATTGAATTTTTTCTTAGGCATATGTTGTCAAACTGAACTTAGTGTTGTGGTTTTTTTGTTCCTTTAAGTTCCAAGTGGAAAATAGGGTTTCAAGTCAGAGCCTTGAAGTTTCAGTAGCAGTGGTGTTTATTCTTTCGGGATGGAGTTGCTAGTCTCAAACCCAACCTTCCCTCCTTGCCAGTCTTATTACTGGCTCAGTGAGGTAAATGTATGCGTCGGCCGGGTACTGATCGCCGGACCACATACATGGTTGGCGAGCATCTGACCACTAAGCCACCAATGCACTGGTGTTGTGCTAGTTTAAAATAAAAGAATATGATATACCACCAACATCCTGCATAAAAAAGCCTGTTTTCTTGTATATAAAATGTTCATGCACACCTATTGAATTGGAAAATTTTGTGAGAGTATTTAAAACCAATAAACGAAATTCGAGATATAAGAATAGGAATATGAGTTCAAAACTATATCGCCCTGAGATGAGCTAATTACGTTGGGTATCGGTTTACATAAAAGGCTTATCATACAATATATATTACATTATTATTCCCTTAGTTACCTAAAACACGATCATCGTTTTTAATGGCAATAAATATACTTAAATTTAATAATTAATAAATAGATAATTCCTTTGCTAATATGTTAGTTTTCACTTTTCAGGTGTAACATGCAGCTTCAAGATATGAATATTCAGTAGAGGTGGTGTTGTATTTTCTATAGTTTGGTTCTTAGGGGTTAGTTTTGTTTTTACGAGTTGATCACGGATTGATATCATTTAGAGAACCATTGAAAACCATCACAGAGTACTCGACAGCTGTTTCATCCTATTTTGGGAATCATCAGTAGTACGCACCCACACTGCGAGGTTCGAACCCAGGACCTTCCGGTTACAAGGCAAGCTCGTATACCATTCAGCCACTGGGACCCGATTCAATGTCCACTCCATGAATTCTGACTTCTACCAATTCGTGATTTAAAGTGACCACCAACCAATGTCATCGGTGGGACATCCATCCTCACACTTGACTGGATGGACCTCACTGGTCATAACTTCTCACTAGAACTCCAGGAAACTCCATCCTGTAGCAAATCACTAGCGTACTGCCAATGATTCCCAGACTAGGATGAAACAGCAGCTGTCCAGTACTCCCTGGTTTTCAGGGGTTCTCTTATTGATGTCAATCCGTGATCAGCTCGTAAAAACAAAACTCACCCTTTACAAACCAAACTATAGAATATTAATATGATGCTCGCTAGTGACTTGCTACAGGATGGAGTTTCCTGGATTTCTAGTGAGAAGTCGTGACCAGTGAGGTCCATCCAGGTGTTTTATTTACCAGGTGGGATTGCTAGTCTAACTCCCGATCTTCTCTTTTTCTCCGGGCTTACTGTCAACTGCTAAACTAGATGATGCTTCTATTTTCTCTTAATTTCATTCACTAAAAATATTCAGATCAGTATAAAGTTTGGAAAATAGATGCAATTTGAACAACCCCAAAAATGCGTTGCATAAATGCACCATGAAAAACTTCTCCTATTTGAAAATTTTTACCGAATACAAATGGTATGCTTCGATGTTGATTTATTTCAATAAGCCTTTATTCATTCTTCATCTTATTTACATGCTATAGTCTATATGGAATATGAAATACAAATATATAAATACAAAGTGATTTCATAATAATATCTCGGACGTATAGATTGATCAGGTTACGTCCTGCCATCTGGCATCAATTCAAAGTTCACTGTAATTGCCATTCATGTAGCCTGGTAGTCACATGGCAAAACTGACTGGTCGAATTGAGTTAAAACCAACAAAAGGGACTAGAAAGAGAAAATCAATTACTCCCTGGGGATCAATTAATTCACTTTTTAATGTTATATTATATTATTATTCCCTTGGGTTCTGACTGGAATAAATATAACTTTAGAAGCACATCTCAACTTCATCCTGTTTTCTGCAGTTCTCTTAAGCTGGCTCCACAATTGCCAGCAATCGCAATTTCCTTCTTGTACAATGTTTTTTACGTTACGCGCGGAAGCCCAACTAGTCATTTCCCATCCGGGTTTCACTTGAGTGCCAGTGTCGTGCGATGTCAGTCGACGATCTCCTCAGCGTATATGTAACCAATCACCATTTCCTTTTGCATATTTGTTGAATCTTAAGTTCTTGAGTGGTTTGCTGCTGGTCAGTTATCTAATCTTCAGTGAATACAAAAGGCAGTGGTTAATGAAATTCAACACCCTGTTGGAAATGCACCAAGTCTCTGAACTATATGGAAGGGCTCATTTGATATTAGTACCGATGGTCCGTATATTTCATACATTTATTCCTCTTTGTGAATTTTAATAAAACAAGAACGACATTTTGTGTAGAATAAAACAGTGCCACCAATTATTTAGTTGGCTTCTCATCACCTGCTTACAGTCTAAAGATACAATTAAGTTCACGTACAGAAACATTCTCAACAAAATTGCAATTTTCACATGATATCAGTTGATATAGAGTACAAGTTTAAACATCTGAAGGTTACAAATGCTTTCAATAGTGCCATCTCTAGGCATCTTCTTGATATAGGTCATGAGGCGGACATCACGGATTCTTTTAAAATTACTAACAGACAAAAAGCCTAATTCTCCTCAAGTTTGTCGAAGCAATCTTCACCAAACGCTCGAATTCCAATTACTGTGTTCAGAAAGAAGCAGTTATCAGTCTTTCTTTGCCCTAGTATCTGGATTTCTTTATTCTCCCCTTCATCTGATTACGTAATCTTTGGCCTTGGTCCCTCTTTTAACATCGTACGCACACATTGATATTTCCGTTTAAAACTGATTTCTCTGTCGACTGATATCATGTGAAAATTGCAAGATTGCTAAGACTGTTTCTGCACATAAACTTAATTATATCTTTAGGCTATAAGCAGCTGACGAGAAGCCAACGAAATAAATGGTAGGAACCGTTTTGTTCTACGCAGAATATTGTTTTTGCTTTATTCAAATCCGTATATTGTTTCTCATGTTGAGTGCAATACATTTCCACACAGATTACAGAGGGATGAAGCACTGTCTTGCATTTTCGATCCTGCTCTTCCAATACTGGTCTGTTTCCTTTGTAGTTGAAACGATGCTTCCTAGATAATTGAAAAAGGTGAACTCCTTTAGATTTCGTCCGTTGATGGTGACTGATGTTTGCTGTTGTTTATTATGCAACTTCACTACCACTGTCTTTTATGTGTTCACATGAAGTCTTGTCTTCTCTGCCTCTTCTGTCAACCTGTTCATTTTCACATGTAGACCTCTGAATGTATGTACCTACGGTGTCTGTAATCTAATCTTATATCAAAATCTTAATTACGGCTGAAAAATGGAAGTTTTCATGTTTACACTGTGTGAACTATTGTCTTGTCTTTGTAACCGCAAGTACTGTTTTATGATATCGTTATGTAATTATTAAAAGAACTTTATAAAATGAAAAGAAATCGTAAAATTGTAGACTTCATGTATGAAGGTGAACAGTGAAGTAAGAACGGTACTAAGTATATACGGAGGATAATTCTTTAATTTTAGATATGTACAACTCACAGTGATAAAATAGTTGAAATGTCGCATGTTTTACTATAGTTGCTGAATATTCATACGATACAAGTTAACGGTAATCAGTGTTTAATGATTTCCTTAGTAGATTCTCCTGACCCTAATTATTAATTCACCAGATTCATACAATGATAGTGTATGGTGTATTTCAGCACTGCGAGTAATACTAATCATTAGTAATTATTTTTATACAAAATCGTAGGAACCTATTGTGCACCAGCAAATGGTGAATGGTGAAAGTCTGTCAAAAATATTAGATTCTGAATGATTGTTTTTCAGACTGATGGAGATTCTATGAATATTATTTCTTTCTTGAGATTACAGTGGAACATAGCACTTCAGCCACTGCCCATATCCCCAAAATACGCTTGATTCTCTGTCATTGCTTTCAACTTGCACCAAGACAACCTACAAATTTTTCGGTTCATCTTCAAATGTTATTTTTCAACATCACTTTCTGACATTCACATTATCGCTTCCCATTCGAGTTCCACTCAAGAGCCTTTCTGGCATGTCATGTAGCTTGAAAGACTCCTCAGTGTATTTTCAATCCATATTTATTTATTTCTGTACATTGAAATGGATATTAGGTTCTTTTTTTCCAAGAGTTGCTTCGTTTGGATTTAATTTGTTTTTGAAGTTTTACAAAAGACTGATATCAGTTAGAGAACCATTGAAAACTGTGGAGTAATGAAGATCATTTTCCTCCTAGTCTAAGACTAATTGGCAGGACGTGTCCACCGTATTTCAAACTCAGGACCTTCCAGTTACAAGGCAAGCTCGCATACCATCGAGTCACTGGGACCCAATTCATTGGCCCATGAACTCTGACTTCTACCAATTCGTGATTTTAGCGAAACGACCAGTCAGTGTCATCAGTGAGCAATTGCTCTCACCCCCGACAGGATGGACACCACTGATCTCAACTCTTCACTGGAATTTCAGGCAACTCTGTCCCGTAGCCAGTCACTAAAGAGCATCAGATTAATTTTCAAGAGTTGATTTTTAGGGATTTAATTTATTTTGCAAGTGTGACCGAGCACATTAGGAGGAAATAAAAATAAACTTCTATTTGTTTCCCTACTCGAGTTCTTTGTTGCTTATATCATATCTTAAATTTCGAGTACAGTCATTTACTGATCAAAGTTTAGAGTCTGTCAGATTATCTGATTGCACCACAAATCCTAATTTTAAGAGAGTTCACAATAAAATCAATTACCACTGATGTTGCTATTTGCTGAGGAAACTCGATGCTCAGATGATTATTTCTCTGCAATACATTCAATCATTGGATGATTGAAATCATAATTATTGCAAAAGCTTTATCTTACCAGATTTTTCTTATCTTTTAAGAAAATCAATGAGAAAAACCTTGTGATAACATAAACAACAAAATAGAATATGTAAACATTTTGGATGACAATTTAATTTCTAATTTCAAGATAGGGTAGGATTAATTTAATTATCTTGTGTTTTTTAATTCTAATTTTTGTTTACTAGCGGATCGTGATTGATGTTTTTATTTACTCAAAAGAAAATCAGTTCTTGACAAAAAAGTAATTTTAAAAATCAATTGATCATGGACTGAGTGAGTTAAGTTAGAGAAGCTCTAGACTGTTGCTTCTTCCTAGTTTGGGATTGGCCAGCAGCACACACCCACTACCCCACTAAGAATCGAATTCATAATCTTCTGAGGACTACTCACTGATTCTCTAGCTAAAGTCAATTCGTTGTCAAATTCGAATTCGATCGATTTCATGCATTCCAACACTTGAATACAATTATGTTTAAATTATAAACTGCTATATTTTGTTGGCAAGTGTTGGTTCACAGCCACTTGATTGGTAACAGGTTTAATCAAGAGCAGACGTCGCGAACTGGCTAAGGCTGGAATTCATGGACTAATGAATCAGCTCCCAGGGGCTGAATGATCTGTGAGCTCACCTTGTAACCAGAAGGTCCTGAGTTGGAACCCTGGCAGGTGCGTACTGATGAAGAGTTCCAAACTGGGAGGTAATAAACCTCTAGAATCCCCTGGTTTCCCAGTGATTCTCTAATTGATATCAGTTCGTGGTCAAACCCGTTTTGTTATGTACTTGATATATCGGTATCAAGGCATAACTGTTTGATGATACAATGACTGAAGGCAAATAATTTATGTCGTTCTACTGACCTAAATCACTTCGGCTGATTACAGAAATCACAGGCATTAATCAACCCACATATTCTTGTAGAAAATTTCATAGTAAGCTCATTAGGATAAAAAAGATAGGCACTTATCTACCCAAAACCCTGAAAGTGCTCTTGATAATTTGAAACCTTAAGGTCCTTAAACGTCTACTTGTACAGCAGCTAGACCAAAAGTAAATACATCAGCTATCTTAACCACCGTACATAGATAAAATACATCCAGCTTTATTCTGTCTTGTTGAATCAACTGCTTGCTGATGAGATAATCTGTCTCTTTGTTTCTAATTTAGTATCGTTAGGACTAAGGGAAGACCTAGTTACGCTGGCTACTGTGATAACAAAATAAACGGCAATGTATCGTTCTTTCACACAGTGGCTAAGCAACACCTATGATGGCTACATTGAAACGATGACCTGGCCATCAGTAGGTCCTGTCGATCAGCTAGTAGAGCCACTAATTCAAAACTTGTAGTGACCCAGATTTTCTTCCAATTACATGATACAACAGATAATAGAAAGCTGTAACGCAGTTTTCTACAGGGAAGAATATTGTGTTTAACCACACTTTAACCTGAAGTTAATTATAGAACTAAGTACATACCTTCGTACTTTGTTTGCAGCTTTACTTCCTGCCGGAAGACCTAGGGATCTTATACTGCTTATTTGATGTTAAGTATTTCTTGCATATTATTAAATACTTTTCTTCCTCTAAATTGGTGAATAAACAATCTCATGTTTTAGGCTATTAGTCTGATATTTTCCCAAATACTCTTCTTCTGAACAAATAATAATAAATGAACAGTTTGGTGTATTGATTATGAGTTACTGGTGTTTTTTAATCTTCACTATCTTTGCTTAGTATTACAGAACAGTCCCAATAATTCTGTGTACATTGGGCCATTTATAGCCAAAGAGGGAAGTCTAGAAATAAAGTGAACATATTTTAAACCAGAAATACAGTTTTTCTTGATCTGAGGAGGATGACTCCAGGCTTTTAGATAATTTTATATAAACAAATCCCTCAGTTGGTCTGAACAAAGGAAAAACGACTTATTATTAGGTTAGTCTGTATTTTTCTTTATTTGACAATGTTGGAGGGAACTTCTCAGTGTCTGTTGACATACCGGCTTCTTGAACGGTGCTTCGACGTTGTCTAAGGATTAAGGATAAACTATTTTGACTCATGACGATTAGCAATAGAATCAAAGTCAAGCGTTTCGTCCTCGTGGTCCATATGGCCCTTGAGTCATTGTGAATAATGCTTTCGCATTCGGAACCATGGGTACAGGGTTCGTATCTCAGCGAGAAAACCACCAAATACTATGGGAATGCAGCAGGTAAATCCAGATGACGTATCTCAGACAGGACAAAATGCCCATCCTGGACTTCTATGCTAGCCACCATTAACCAAAATCAAATCAAGAGTGAATATATTTGCAGGATAAAATTAGCTCACTTGTTTTACTTTCTGACTCTTCTTCGCCTACCAACAGTTTAAAAATGACGTCAATTATTGTAAGTGTGAATATATAACATTGTTTAATTCAAAGGGAGTTCGAAGCATGTTGTATGTTTCAATTTATAAAATTTGACGTCAATTTTAAACTTTTAGCAGATGAAGAAGGGCCATGAAATGAAAACAGACTGAACAGCTTTTATCTTCGTTCTTATTTTGCTTAAATTTCATAATAATTACGGGAAAAAGTAACTGGCAGATTGCTACGTCACACAAACACAGCTGCAATCTGTTGATTAAAACCTAACTTGTCTTCGTATAAACACTACGTGATTCGTTTTGCTACAGTTCTATCTAACTGTTTCATCTTGTCCCCCCTCCAGCAACCTCCTCATCTTATTTATCATCTAGCGTGTTATTCTCAAACATGATTTATATTTCAATTATTTTAATATTTTAGTATATCTCTTTTTCGTGTTTTGTATGTAATCCCATTAGTTATCATGCCATCTTTATCCCACATCTGATTTATTCATCTTTATATCAGGTTCTTGTTTGGCCAAATTTGAATGTTACTCAAACAACCATGTTTATTTTCTAGAATTGCTTCTTATTCTTTTTTCCTTCATCCTCTTCATAATTTATGCTTTTGTGTTTGATTTCAAAAATTAAGCATCTCGAAAACAATATTTGTACCCTTTCCTTTTATCAATCGATGAATGTTAGTGAGTGCATAGTGAACTTTGTTATTCCTACTCCGAATTTCCTATAAAAGACAGTTTCATTTTCGATTTTCTCAAGTGAACTGTAATCATACTGTTCTAGTATTAGTATTGACATTTTAAATTAGTGAAGGGTAAAGATTTTTTGTTCAAAATAAATTCGACAACCTTTCTAATAGGAATTTTAAATCATTCTTATACAGTTGTAATAGTAGTTTTATTAAAATAATAAATTTATGTATGAATACATCTCTCATCAGCAGCTGCCTTCCATGGCTCGACATTGAAGATCAGATGGCCTGCTGGAAGGGATAGTGACCAAGGAACTCTGCTAGACAATTAACCGAAAAAACACCTATGGTCTATACATACATAGAGGGACTGGTTATTCTCTGAGGAGACCGCTGAGTGATATCGGATGGCAGGCAATCCCTGAATGGGAAATGGTGAGTTGGGTTTATAACAGTGACATAGATGAGGTCGTATGAGGAAGAGTTGAAAGCTTATGAGTAACCGTGGAGCTGGCTAAAATACTTTGCAGAGAACAGAATGAAATGGACATCTGTTGCTGAAGTCCAGGGTTCCACTCAAAACACAAATGGAATATGGTGAATACATTAAGCTTTTAAAAGTTTTAGATATAGAATAAAAATTCAAATAGTAAATAGACGAATATTATTGTAAGAAAGTCAACTCACCTGTAATGAAGTAGCTGTACCAATTACAAGACCTAATGACTGACCAACTAATGATGTTTGAACAGATATGATTAGAAATTGAAAAAATCTTATAGCATCATTTGGCTGTTCAGTCATCCAATAAGTAATACTTGCATAAACAATAGGAAAAAATATCTACAAAAGAAAGATTGCAACAACAACAAAAAACATTGAAAAGTGATACAACTACACGGTGAGCATTCCATATGTACACACATTTTTAAGGATGCACGAAAGGTTAAAGGACTTTTATGTTTATCAACTTCTTCACAACGAGGTTTAAGCCTATAAGTATATCATATATATATAGGCAACTCTAAAGAATAACAGCCCAAACCGAAACTACCTAGCGAACGGGCAAATGACCTTGAGCAACCAATCAGGTGACTCTGTTTTATCCAGACGTACTTACGAGTGCTGTACATTGCAAATTCGCTCCAGATCATGTTTTGATTACTGTTTGAAGAACGGACTGATAGGAAGATCGAAAAATTGCCAATTTGGAGGTGTCCTTCATATGCAGAGAAACAATAGGTGCATCGATGGGTTTGTTTGTTGGTGAAATGAGTGCCGAACCAGAAAATCAGTTCGAGAAAATATGTCTTTCGTTTTTAATTTACAGATTCCTTAGGTACTCTTGATAAAAAGTAAGTATAATTGAGGGAGATTGAGTGCGAATCAGCAGTGGGTGTTGAGGATATATGACACCACCCTCCACAAAGGATACATTGAGGCGATCCCTAATCGCAGTGCATATGCCCTATTGCCTATTATCCAACGCTTATCGCAGCCTGGGACAACTATTCATACAGATGAATGCAGTAGTTATAGTCACCTATTAACCCTGGGCTATATTCATCTTGTCGTCAACCATACAAATGGTTTTCTCAATCCTTTTGATGGAACTCACACTAATTCCATCAAAAGTTTCTGGAGTCACCTAAAAAAAAGTATCAGATCTGTGAATGGATCAAGAAATGCAATGATTTGCAGTTATCTTGATGAGTTTATCTACAGGACTTGGTTTAACGTGAGTATCAAGACTCCTATGAGAAATTGGGAAGCTTTTTGCAACATATACGAGAACGTTGTCCTTTGTAACAATTTTTTAACATTGCATTACTTTTATATAAACGATTTATTACAATTATGCGCTGTTTTTTATGAGCCTTCTGATTGGTCGAAGTTGCCCTTGTGAAGGTCATTTGTCCGTTCGCTAGGTAGTTTCGGTTTGGGCTGCTATTCTTTAGAGTTGCTTATATATATATTGTTGAGAACATTCGAGATGACATCGGATTAATGTACTGAATATTAATGTAATAATCTATAACTGAAGGTTGGATGGAAACCTGAGTCGTAAAAGGCTGTCAACTCAGTGCTATACCGATTGAGCTAAGATCCCCTCTTATGTAGATAAAGTTTGTATTTCCTTTACGACACTACTGACTACTAACATTTCTGTAGAAATAGGGAGTTGGAATAAATACTGAAAACCAATGAGTTAAGTGATTTTCGTCTGTCCTATGTACACCTGTATAGGAGGAAAGAGAATGTCAGACACAATGGACAACTTTGTACTGTTTGTACTTAAACTATTTATCAGAAATCAAGGTTGCTAGATGAATTTGCATACAGTAGTGAGTAGATAGAAAGAGATTCAATACCAGAAAATATCAGAAAAATGTCTTTTTCAAAATAAAACGGATATTTTAAAAATATGAATTCTAAAGAAATTAAAATTTTTATTTATCTGTAAAGTTATGAAGGAGAAAGCTCAAGTATTTTTTAGGGATCCACATATATTTATTTGGTGGGAGTGTAAAAATCTTATTAACACTTTTCCCTTCATTTGAAGGTGAATCTTTTTAAAGAAAACATTATCAAACCGCTTGGATAAGAGAAGGAAACATTTTATCAAATATAAGTTAGCTTAGTATTTGGAGGAATGTTTATGATATTTTTAAAAAAGTTAATTTTGTATTTCTCGTCGATTGCTTATATTGGACTGAAATGTTAGGTCTCTGTTGAGATTGCTGACATTTAGTACAAACGCTCGAAAGATGTCTGACGACTCACACGATATTGCTTGGCGGGAGGTAACTAGCAGTGGAATCCAAGAAAAGCATTCCGTCCTCTTAAGAATTCGTCATCTGGTTGCACCTGAACTCCCTATTGACTGATGGATTTCTCACTAAGACTCGTGGCTCAAGTGACCTAGTGGATAACGTTTTGGCATTTCAAAAGATGGATGCAGGGTTTAAGTGTTATAAGAAACAGCACCACTCACTTGGGATACAAGTGCACCTGGTTGATGAGTCCCAGACAGGACGAAATGTGCGTACAGCATTTCAGTGCTAGTCACTATCCACCAAATAACATAAAGTTCATGATATTTCGTAATTTACTTACATATATCACACTAACTCAGTTTGTGAACGAAGCAAATATATTTTTGAATAACATTCAAAATTAAAAAATAATACCTCTGTGTGCTACCACATTTTCCACATTTTTGGTAAAAAATAAATATCTAGCCCCTTGGAATTTACAGTTTTCTACGGATATAATTTTAATTTTCTTAGAGTGAAAACATACGAGCCTTCCAATAACACCGTCCTGACATTCACAGCAGCTCTGTAGAGTCCTGACTGCCTTTTACTGACTACTAAGAATAAATTTAATAAGAGCTGTTGTGAAGGATTCGAATTAATGTAGTTGTTCACTCGTAATGTACGGCACAGTTTTACTAAAATATCTCTGAAATTAACATATTATTATTTCATAAGTAGGTATTGTTATACCTTATCTGACAGCTTTTTAACTAGCGAATTCTACATCATAAATTTTTAATACGGTACAACTATCATCGACATTTTTCGTTTGATTTGATCCACTGCATATCTGATATCGATAAGGCCTGCTGTTGCATAATATGTGGGAAGTAAACCGCTTTCTCATTGACTGATATGATTCAGTAATTCCACATTCATCAATAAAGTATTACAGCTGATACATAACAGTATTTTGTGTTTATGTCCTATATATGGTGTATCTGTGAATAATAAATAAGATGTCATAATATAAACAATCAGTTCGATGAATTCTGGGAATATCACCAAAGAAACTTAACATTCCTGATAAAAAATAAAAATCTCGATGCAATACTGTATCATATGCTTCTGTATGTATATAATCTGACGATTCAGAGTCAGTCAGTCAGTGAACAGAAAGAGTAATGACAATTATCATGTTTCAGAGCACAGTAAACAATCAACAAAATCGTTTGCGTGTATCATAAGATTAATAATGTTGTCAGCACTTGATACACAGGACTATTCAAAGATGACAGTGGATTTCTAGATTACAGCTGAAGTTCTGGAAAACGTGTTATCGAGGTGTGCCGACCATGTATGAACTAGATGGAATTATGTAACATCTATCGAAAAGGGAAGCAATAACAATAATGGATAATAAAATTGATATAATAAAGGATTTAAAACATACTTGGAATGGTACATCAGCTAATGATTTCGCTAAATAATAAGCTTTTAAACTATACCATGAGTTTAAATGTTCACGGAAGAATATAGATATTTCAAGAGGAACTGAAAAAGAAACGAAAAAATAGGTTTGGTTGAATTAAATTAGCAACTAATTCACTCACTGTGATGGCTAATTATAATATTCTATAGTGACCATAGTCCTGCTTAAAAAGCTCAAAAGTAAGGAGGGATGGTATGTCCTCAGCTCGGAAGTAAAGGGATAACTTATGCGCTCATAGACAATGTTTAGAATAATCCGTGTTGTTAAACATTTTACCATGAGAATTTACCATGAGAATCTTAAATATAATATGTAACTGACCAGAGTGAATCGTTAAAGAATCATAAATCTCCACACGAAGCATCCGAATCTGTGACAATTTACCTTTGCCAAACAATAAAATACACATGGTAACTGAGAATACAATGCGATTAAAAATTTATTTCGTCGTGTAGCATAAATTAATGTTGCAGGAAATTTTGATAGGCTGTGGCATGAATCACTGATAAAGGAAACATAAGTAAACTAAGAACATTTAAAGATGCAGTTCTAGGAATTTAGGAGCGATTGTCCACAAAGGCTATTCATCATGAACTAGTTGCCATAAGCCTTCTCATAAATGAAGGTTTTCATAGTTCACTATTCATTTTATGCAACTATGCTTGCTTTCCTACTTGCCCTTCATGGTATCAAGTAGATCACATATTATGGTTACAATATTTTTGGTTCCCAAAGAAAATTGTGGTGTTTCAATGGGAAACTGAGAGTATGAGCGGTTTCCCGTAGTTTATTCTCCCAAAATACATAAAGTTTTACTTCCTGAATACAGTACATTATAATACGTTATCTGCATTACTCTACTCAACATATTTTCTAATCCTAGGCAATGAAATTTGATTTGCAGGATAACATGCGTTCGTAGCTGAGAACTTTTAGACACGGCCAAATTAGGACATCCTCCAAGGAGTTTTAAGGTGCTGATCCACCTTAAAGTGAATCAAATCTAGGCAAAAATTAAAAATTCAGTTTAGAAACAATTTCTGATTAAAGGAAACATTTCTTTGTTTTAATTGCGCCTTGATTATTCTCTTTACTGTGAGAAAGGAGAAACCAGCCTTCATATATTCCATTAAACAAACTGTGCTGGTTTTGGCTCAACTTTCAATAAACCAGTAAAATTTTCCTACCTTTGCGCTATTAAAACATAATGAAAAAATAAAATCAGTTCAGTGAAGCCTAAATGACAACTTAATTTGATGAGCACTTTCTAGAGTACTTTAGGCTCTATGAAGTCTATGAACACGAAGAGATAACAGACACAGCTCTAAAGGAATTCATCCAGAAGTAAACACATAAACATCTGCTGTGTAGATATAATGTGGAAGATTTTTAGCCAAGGTGGATGACATTGGCCCATTTTATCCTCTGAGCTGTATAGTTTAGGTGCAAAGCTTTCATTGTCTTACGAGTCAACATCTTCAGCGCATTCAATGAAAGCTTCGCACCTAAGCCATCCAACTTAGAGAACGCAACTATGCTAAAATCTGCTATGTATATCATTGCTGGTAATCTCCTTTCCTGTTCAGTTTCAGTCTTTGATTAGCGATCAATTGGTTGGCGTATGAAACAAGAAAAACTACCACTATGAACCGTCTCCGTTTGCGTTTCTAAATTCGAATGCTTCTAGGATATAAGTTATACATCGTTCTTTTCAAATGAATCCTCAAAAACTATCTTGACTGATTTTTGAGAGGATATTGTAAACTCGCCACTGGATAGGCGCTGAAGTATATTGCCAACTCATCAGAATGTTCTTTTAAAGTCAGCTACATGGCAAATCGAAATCCATCAAAACAAGTGTGTATTCACTACTCGAACTTAACGATAGCGTTTGAAATTTACCACAACAAGCCCACACGCTTTATTGAAAAGACAGACGTGTGGTCAACATTTCTACAATTTAAAAGTTCTATTTTGCCGTTTACCTCATTTATTGCGTTTCCAAGTTATTCACAAGTTTTGCAGCATAACTAACTTTACTTCTCCCTAGAAAGATTGAAAAGTCACAACTTCAAAAGGTGCTTATATATCTAATGGCCTTCAGTTCACAGCTGAGTGGTTTCAGGAGTACTGTTATGGATACACGATCACAAGTATGTTATCGCTTCCGCAATATTTTCAATCAGATGGTCCCACTCAAAGCATTAAGAGAGGGGACAACACTGGATATCACTGAAGAACATACTACTAGATACACTTCAGTAGAACAAAAACGACATGATAGGAGAACAATTTGAAGATATACAACATTGGAGATAAAGAGCAATCCATGAAAACACTGAATCAAAGCTTCATATAAGAAGACGATGTGACGGACGACATTAGCGAACGCTAAAGATCCGGATCGATCCAAAGCGCACATATACTAACCCCCTCAATTCTTAAAGGTGGATTTATTGTGTGCAACTGTGGGGAATCTTTGTCGTTCACCAGTAAAAATCTACACCACAGTGCTATTGACTATCCATTTATCAGTCAGACAAGAAGCAACAGAGAGAAAGAGAGTATAAATTTTACAGTCTGATTAAATTAGACAGAATTCACCATAATTATTTCTTCAAAGTATAATGAAAAGCAAAAATAATAATTTACCTATATACAATAACTTACATGTCATCACCGTTGGCATTAAAGCAGCAAACATAAGAAATAATAGTGTGAAGAAAACAAATGCTGCATTACTAATAACTTCATAACCCAAATTTCCAATACGAAAATATAAAAGACCGATTAAAATGCCCACAACTATATGTGACACAAAACGTAGATGGGTTAACGTCTGAAAAATAGTAATTAAAAGGATAAAGATAATTGCATAAAGCGGATTACATGTTTTATTTGAGCATATTATAGAAGCAATTTTATAAAGTGACAAGTTGTGAAACTTTGTTCAGGTCAATTTTGATTTTTCCATTGGTTTATTGGACAGAAATGTTCAGTATCTGTTCACATGTTGGCTCGTCATATTGACCCTTCGAAGATATCTGAGGATTTACTTGAAGTATTTCGAAGGAAGGTGGCTAGCAGTGATATCCAGGGAGTATATTTCATTCAGCTACACAAGAGGTAACTCTCATTGCCAAAGTGGTCCAGTGATGTGTTAGACGATTGGTACAAGGTTCGAGTTTCAGCGGGGACACCATCACCCAGTGGGGAATGCAGTTACACCTGGATGATGAGTCCCAAATAAGACGAAGTCGGCATCCTGCTTCAAATAAATTGTGAAACTCTTTAAATGAAGTAAGCTGTGAAGGTGTTATCCAGGGAGAAAATGAATGCCTCTCAATTAAACTAACCAGCCAATAGAACGCAACTATGCGACAGTCAGAAATCTGAGTCTTAAATCTTCTCAGTCATTCTGATCTGTTTTGCCACGATGGCAGACGAACAGCTTCCAGTAATACATTACATGTGCCTCAGTAAAATGTTGGATATAAATGCTATTGTACAGCTATGTGAATGAATTCGCCAAAAAGGGGCTCTTCCCTTTTGTTAACTTCTGTTAATATTTTTGTGATGTTTCGTCTTAAGACTCTTCAGGAAATATGCTAGTGAAAGCCCACTAAAAATTTATCTTGAATAATGCAATTGTATGAGTTCTTCTCTTAAGTGAAACTAATATATAATCAGTTAAAGCATGAAATGTGCAAATCAGCAGAAAATAAAGGTATAAGCTATTTAAAATATAAACGGAAACTGTAAATTACAACAACAAAAAACATATTATCATATCGACAAACCTTATGAGAATATTTTAAATTAAGCATTATTGTAACCATAGTTTCATGAGAAAAATAATATTTGTAAAGTGCGGGAAAATTTTCACGATACTGATTTCATCTGTGCAAGCACTAATTCATAGGATGTTCATTTTTCGTTATTAAGAAGTAGTGATGTAATGGAATAGATTTACAAGGGAATAACTGTGTGAAAACTTCTTTTGAAAAGATATTAGGAAATTTATTTCAAATATAATTTCATTATAAATTTCGTCACGAACTAGCATCACTTAAAGAGATCACTGAAAACTGAGGACACAGCCGTTTCATCCCATTTTGGGACTCTTCAACAGTGCACGCCAACGCTTTCCGCTGGGGATCGAAACCAGGACTTTAAAGTTACAAGGCCAGTCTTGTTGACCACTCAGCAACTTTGTCCGGAGTTTAATGATCCCTAAATTTCAGCTTTGTCATTTCATGGTATAGCACTACCCTCAATGAGTGCCTTCGATGAGCCACGCTGATGACTATCTCTCATTACAGGATTCAGAAAATCCATCTAGTAGTTATCTACGGGATTGGAATTGATATTTAGATGGTACTTTCCGTAGTGATCTGGAATAACTTCCGGGGTTATGTATGGGCAACGCTGAAGAGTTTCAGACTAGGACGAAACAGTTGTGTAGTTTTCCTTTGTCTTCAGTGATGTCTAACTGATGTTGTCTGGTGTAAGAAATCTCCACTGAAATTGTGCCGAATCCTTACGAAATGAAATATAGTTGTCAGTTATTCTGTAAACATGCAAAATGTGCTCAAAATCCTTAGCCCTGAGTACAGTCAACTAAGTGTCGAAGAATATAACTATTGTAGAGAAGAAAACTGATTACCACAAAACAAATATGCCAAAGATAAATGAGAAAAAGTGAAGTGTAGTGAGGAGAGATTTCTAGAGAATATTGATTAAGTATTATCAACACTGAGTCACTACTTGAACTTCTCAATCTTATGCGAAAATAACAGCGTGAACTAGTAGGCTCCCAAAAAATTTAGATTTAAGGTGCAGATAACTCAGCTGAAAGACTTAAAAGCAGCTTGTAATAATGGCAGTCAGCACGATTCCGTTCTCTGGCAACATTCGATTGCGACAGTAATCAGCATATTAGTACTGCTGTCATAGGCTTAGATGACATAGCCAGAGTACTGATATGTTTTTATTGAGAAATTTGGTCAAAATAATAAATATGAGAAGGAGGATATGTGGATTTTTTTTGCAACTCACATTTGAACTGTCCTACTATACCCATTAACCTATCTACAAGTACCAAACAAAACGAAAGATTTATTTATAGAAGCAGTATTTAGTTGTTTCACTTCCTTTTAAATCACTTTTTTCCATAAAAAAAACTTTTGCTGATTTTCATTTCTAATTTTATTTGCAGGTATTACTTGTATAAATTAGGATAGATATGGTCATGCTGTGAATTACGACGCATGTCTATCATTCATCTATATGTTGGTTGAATTATTGCCATGATTTTTCTTTTGCACTTCCGTTGGCTGGTGTGTGGTTTTTTTGAGGGCACACATAGATACATTATGAGTAACTTTCACTTCACTTGTCGAAAACCTACTCAAAGTTAGTTTTTTTTTTAACTACTGGATTGGAAAATAATGATAAACCTAGTGTCATGTGCTCTAGAAACTTAAGTAAAGCATTCTATATTAGATGCATATATTTGACATAGGAGTGATACAGTAATGCAGTATTAATAACTGTACGTTGTTTTGAGCAAAAACACACTAATCTAATGTGGAATTATTGTTTTATCGCAATGTCTAAAGCATTCACAGAAAATAAGAGGATAATTAAACTAATTTGTGTGATTGATAATTGACTACGTTTCTAGTCAGTATCAAACAATATGTTTGCAAATTTTGAAAGGAAATTTAATAAAACAGGAATTGGTTACTGCTCTTGGTGTTATTCAGATTTATCCTATAACATTATCTAAGAGTGAAAATCGTCTTATTCAGGACTCATCATCTGAATTCACCTGCAGTTCCCAGCAAGTGATGATTTTACTACTGAGATCGAAACCCAGAACTTATCGCTTCAAACGCGAGAGCGTTATCCACTAAACCACTTCAATTCTGCTGCCAGTCACCATCCACCACTAAATAACAGAACACCGAGTAAATCTTCGAAGTGTCCATACTAAGAACCGATATATATCGACAAAAGCTTAACATTTCATTCTAATCAGTCAGCGAACAAAGTTGCCTGGAGTTTCAGTGAGAAGTCGTGACCATTGAGACGCACCAATTCGCGTGTGAGGACAACTAGTTGCCAATGATATTGGCTGATGGTTAGGCAAAAGCAGTGAATTGACAGAAGTTAGAATTCATGGACCACTGGATTCTAATTCAGGTGGCTGAATGGTCAACAAGCTTGGTTTCTTAACCTGAAGTTCCTGAGTTCGAACCCTGGTAGGTGAGCACTTCTGAAGCGTCTCAAATTAGGATGAAATATCTGTTATTGATATAAGTATAAAACTTGGGCACTGTGGTAGAGTATAACTCCATTATGGATAAGATTTCATTTTGATAAAATCACACTGTGTTACACAGTAATATTAACTGATGACGTTTCGAGCACAAATTATTGCTCATAATCATATCAAGTTACTCACACAACATTTTCCCTTCATTTATATACATGTGTGGAATCGATTAGATGTTTGAGTAGAAATCAATATGAGATAATGTACATTCAGAAATAATAATACGAGCGTTATTAATCAATTACAATCAGATGGGAAATAAGATGAGTGTTTTTTTATAGTCATAATAAGTAACTTGTTAGAATGTTGTGATGTGCTTGAATTGAAAGAGAATTTCAAGATTATTTATCATCCTCCTCTGATTTGACTGGTGGTATTAATATCTTCCATATTTCTGGTATTTGCATTGAGTCATTTCTGTTGCATGTGTTGGGTGTAGACTCAATGAACCAGGATTCAGTAATCAATCTCTCTCTCCACCTACATAGATTACTCCTTAGAATCTTAACCCTCTCACACCCTATTGTGTGGTTTTGTGTCAATGCATGTAGTGCAATTGCTGAGCTTTTTTCTAAATTACTCATCTTCTCGGGGTCAACCATTCTTACCTTAGCTAAATTCTTATGTTCCGACAATCTGACTACCCCGATCTACTAGTTTGACCTATGTAGTTGACCTCACAGTCATTGCAAGGTATTTTGTAAATTATATTATTTTGTTTAATTGGGTCCACCGGGTCTTTTAGCCTACAGAGCTTCTCTCTGAGTGAGTTTGTAGGTTTGAATGCCACGCTGATTCCTGCTTTATTTAGAATCCCACCACGCAGGGTCTCAGATGTCCCCTCCTTATATGGTATAACAGCAGATGACTTATATTCTCTCTTATTTATGTTATCATTACTAGTTTCACAATTATTTTTAATTTGCTTTTGGCCTTTTTCGATCTTCCTAATGAATTTTATAGGATAGTTATTCAACACCAACGCCTCTTCTATCTGTTTTATTTCATCATTTAGGTCTTTTCTTGTGCTACTTAGAGCTACTGCTCGGTTTGTTAAACACTTAACTAAGCCTGCCTTAACAGTTAAGGGATGAGATGAATTAAAGTCTAAATATCTATTAACTGAATGCGTTGATTTTTTATAAACGCTAGTGTGCAGTTTACCTTCTTCTATTCGTTTTATTTTACAATCCAACATAGCTAACATGGCTAAATATCTGTCTAGTAATCCTTGATTATCAGTAGTTCTTTAACTAATGTCAATCCATTATCAAACCTGAAACCAACTTAGGGGCCTACAGATTAACTCTCGGGAAACTAAATCGAGTTAAGCAAATATTATTTATATGTTGTTATATATATATATATATACATACTTGCATGCATGGACAAATTTGCGCACTTTTATCTGCACATTTAGAGAAAATAATATGATTTGAGTTTCAAAATACGCCTTAATAAGAGTTTCAAGTTACTTTCTTCGAGATAAACAAATTCAT